ACTACGTCTTTCATATCTTTACTGGGGGTACACTTTTTGAAAACCGAAAATGGAACATAAAACAAAATTATGAAAGATTTTGTGATAATTTGAATCACTGCATTCATGAAATAAACGTTCTTCCCAAACCCAGTCCTCATAATCGAGTACCACTGGGTTGCACATCATTCTGCTTTATCCTGAAAAGATATAAAAGAGCGCTGCTGTATGGCATTAGCTCATTTTCGCTTGGGACGGCGTGGTGAACAGCAATAGCAGCAGTAGGAAGGTGGTGGCTAGTCCACTCCTTCACACCCAACAAACAACAATTGACTGGTCGAGGCAAAGGAGGAAAAGGTCTGGTTAAGGAGGTGCCAAGTGTCATCGCAAAGTTCTTCGAGATAACCACCATCCGTCGTCTGGCTCGCCGTGGCGGTGTCAAACGTATCTCTAGTCTACGAGGTGTGCTGAAGGTGTTCCTGGAAAATAAGGTCCGTGATGCTGTTACCTACACTAAACACGCCAAGCGTAAGTAGCCATGGATGTCCTCTACAATAAAACGACCCTTCATCAGGGCCATCAAGCTTATAACAGTAAAGAGTTAGAATAGAATTTATCTGTGCCTGTTTGTCCATATTCAGAACCATAGGCCCCCAAAGACCACACAAAATGCTCTCCAGAGTTGTAATCTTGTAACCAAACTTGGACGCAGGGGTGCAAGTGATTTTGATCGATTCTCTTCAACAACTTTCTCTTTGAAAAAAATTTACTACAAATTTGGTACGCCTACAATTCAAAAACGGAAAGAGTTAAGATAATAGATGATTGATCAATTAAAAGAACTGAATGCTCTTCATATTTATTCCGTCCACTAGCGGTCCTACGTCAAGCTTCCGTTCGGGCCCCTAGGCACAGACCCTTCTACTTTTTTAAATCCTTGTCGGGTGTTTTCATCACTGCGATCATTTCTCTGATCTATTGTGATATACCTATTTCCCATTTTTTAGCTGTATCAAGATGCCGTATCACTATGATTAGGAGTGATCGCCATTGTTTGACTAATAGCATTATCCCATCAAGGCATTACACTTCGAATACAGTGCACTGCCGTACTGGGAGTTGTTCTCCAAATGTCAAACGGTTATATCAATCCCTTGTCGAAGAACTTACGTCTTTTATTGAAAAATGTCGGACAATGGCATAGCAAATGTTCCGAGTCTTCCTTTTCTATTCCACAGAAGCGACATACATCATCTTGAAGTATTCCAATCAGCTTCAAGTGATAACGGCTCGTACAATGATTTGTATATATGCTAAGATCTTTCTTAGAAAGTTCTAGCATTTTGTGGGTCACAGAAATGTTTGGAATAATGAATCGCTTAGACTGCCTAGCAATGGATGTCCAGTTTTCGTTCACTTTTGATGATTTCCATGCTTTTAGCTCCATTCTAAGAGATGCAGCCAATAAGCCACGAAAGGGCTCTGGTCCTATGAACTTATGAGAAGATCCGAGTCTTGCTAGTGCATCAGCTCTTTCATTTCCGTCAATCCCGTAATGATCAGGAACCCAATATAAGTTGACTTGATAATGACCAGACAATTTTTGAAGTGACTGAACACATTCCCAGACAAGTTTTGATGTACATTAGGGTGTTTCATTTTGAAAAAAGTGATGAATTTTTGATAGGCCACCCTCCAGTTCGATTCATAGCCCCAAAATATGAACCTGTGCAAAAAATGGTAAAGATTGATGAAGGTTTAGAGGTCGCGCCAATGATTTGGATTTTGTATGGAGATTTTGGTGAATTAGTATGGGAAATTATTGATTTTCGTTTACATTGCTCTAACTTTGGTTGTAGTTGTCCAAACGTTGAAAAAAAAAAATATGTGGTTGTCATGACAATGATCAACAAGCCTGTTGTTGTTGCGATGAAATTGGCGTTGTTGCCTTGTACATATTCATCTGTCAATTTACCCTATTTTGCCATTTTTTCACATTTTTATAATTCTTGATACGCTGCAAAACTGAGCGTAGCAACTGTAGGCTTTTTGTTTATTGTCATAGCAATAACATACTAAATTTTTTCGACATTTGGACAAGTAGAAGCAAAGTTATAGCGATATAAGCGATTTTTTAAATTCTTCCATAGTAATTCCCATACAAATTTCAAATCATTGGCGCGACCTCTAAACCTTCATCAATCTTTACCAATTTTTGCACAGGTTCATATTTTGGGGCTATGAATCGAACTGGAGGGTGGCCCATCAGAAATTCATCACTTTTTTCAGAATGAAGCACCCTAATGTACATGTTGCCGATTTTCAAGCATTTAGAGCAGTTTGACCATAGAGGTAACTCTAAGACTAGAAGGTCCCGAAATAACGTGCTCAACTTTTTGGCACAGCTCTGGTACTCTCTTCGGTCCAAAGCTAATCGATTCACCCCTCGAAACATAGGAAAAACCAATAACCCCTCATTTTATCTGTCAAACTTTCATAGCGAATCAAAACAAACATTGCGTAGTACTAGAATTTCGACTAGAATGGGGTACGTTAATCGTTTGCTTGGGACCAATAGGCTAGTCAAGTAGTGAGCCAATTTAAAATCGTTAGTTTCGTATTGATTGTTGGTTTGACTGTCGGACATTATGCATATAGGGGAATTTACGTATTCTCGTCAATCTAAGCAGCGTCTGCACTTCTACTAGTATTTTCTCAGCGTCATGCACATATATGATGTGTCTGTTTGTTTACATTCATCTGCTGCTTGCTTCTCTATCCATTCCAATCGACAGAATTTTTCAAAACGTTTTGAAAGCGTTTTTACAACGCTCCAAACTTCTCAGGTGAGTGTGACTATTGTCGGCAGTCTTTTTTTCTTCGGCAACCTTCCCATTAGAACTGCGTGTTAACCAGCTGTTCTATTATCGGCAACTCGAAATCAACCCCATTTTGTAGTGCGTATGCTTTATTTGAAGAAAAATGTAGCATTACTGGATTGCTCGATCGTTCAAATATAATCAGATTGAAGCTGAAAGGCTAAACAATCGTTTGGACACATTCAGGGAAGTGCGTTGCTGGGAAAACATAGTGAAATTAACGTTTAAATTTTGGTTGCCGAAAACAGTCAATGGGTGCCGAAGCCAACATTTACCCTATTTGAACTTATAGTTTCCACGCAAACATATAATAGAACACTCAAAAATTGATTGGATTTCAGCTTGGAACACAGTGGGCCATCTGCCCATAGGAACCGATATGTCTATCCCTGGGTCAGTTACTCCTACTCCCACTTGATTGTTCAATCTTGAACCACTTGAAAAAGCCGATTGAAATTGTATCTTTTCTCCATCCAGTCTTCGTTGTTCCGTACTAGAGAGTTGATACTGATGGGGTACAAAATATACCGTCGGAAGCGGTTCATCCCTTTTTTCTGTCCTGTTGTCTGGTCGTGGAAGAAAAGGAAACAAGTGCAGTATTGAATTCAATTAAGAATTTCGTTGTTGATCCGAAAGTGCGCGAGTGAAGTGCAACTGTGTTTTAAGCACAGCTTGCAGTAACTATATCACCGATATCCCCCGAAAGTGATTACTGCAATACAAGTGCATAAGGCACGACTTTTGGAAACACTGATTCGACATACATCGACCCCATCTACGTTGGTGTTTTCAGCACAACAATCTTCTGGGCCGTCAATATTTCACGATGGTGGAAAATCCTTCGAAAAGGAACGGGTAAGCCCCATCATTTGGTCCTTCGAACCGGATCGAAGGTTCCCCCGACCAGAAGGGCAGGTGCGATGTGTACACCATTTTCGTTTCTTCCATGCGCTGGCAATTGTTCGACCTGTAGTTGAGGTCAATAGCTTTGTATGGCTGACCAAAGCCAAGCTATTTGATGCCATTTGAATAGCGCAAATTGAATAAAGGCCTCCACACAGTAGGCAGTTTTTTCGACCCATTTGCTTGGGCGAAGCAACGGTGTGTTCGACTGGAGAGATTCCAAAGAAAAATAAAGGTTGGATTGGAAATTCTTTTTTTTTTTTCCTTTGGTTTGTTTTTTCCGTCGATCTTGTTTTCCGTGCTGAGCACCAATGCTACCGACGTGCCAGGAAGGCAGCTCCCACACCTGGACCCTACCTATCGACCCATCAACTCATGAACCGGGGACCAACGGCTTTACTTCCCATCCGAAGGAAGGCGTGATCAGAGATGTTATGCCTCAGAACATCCCGGCGGCGCCGACTGGGATTGAACCCAGGCCTACTGGGGTGAGAGGTAATCACGCTTACCACTACACCACCGGCGCCGTTGATTGGAAATCCTAACATCGCAAATTGATTTGGTCTTTCATTTTACATGTGTGTATTTGGTGGTGGTGGGTGGCAAGTTGAGTCGCGTGGGTGGTACGCCCGTGTCGGGAAGGAGGTTTTTACGTTCGATTTGCGTACCATCCTCGGGTATTTCGTCATCGTAGAAAGTGGCACACCGCGACGGGAAGGAGTACACGTTCGATTTGTGTCAGTTTCCGATTCTCGCGTCGTGTAGAAAACGGTACGACGCGCCGGGAAGGAGTCCGTTAACCGATTTTCCGATTCCGTTTCCGCGTTTTCGGAACTGTGGTGGTAGTGAAGTGGTGATTGTACAGTGAATCAGGATTTCCAGACCAGAGAAGACGTTCGCCGAATTCTGTGTACCAGATTCCGATCCGTCTTGAGGCGTTGGACCGTGTCTAGAGAGATCCAGGAGCTGCAAGCGGAGATTGAATAGTACGATGACGCTGAGAAGTTTGAGAAGCATCTGCAAGAGCGAGCAGCGTTCGAAGCGAGATTCTTCACGGCCAAAGGATTTCTGTTGATGAAGCGTTCGACAGATCCCAACCAGACAGTGTTGAATACTTCAGTAACGGCCAATCATCACCCAGTTTCATCCAGTTTCCACCTACGGTTGCCCAAAGTCGATCTCCCTAAGATCGATGGAGACTTTTCCAGATGGCTTTCCTTCCGGGATACTTTCACCTCCATGGTCCATTCCAACGCGGACATTCAGACTGTCGCGAAGCTGCAATATCTTCTGCAGTCCCTGGAAGGAGAAGCTCACAAGCCATTCGAGTCGATCGACATAATCGCGGATAATTATGCGTTAGCTTGGGACGCTCTACTGAAACGCTACGACAATAAGCGGTATCTGAAGCGTCAACTGTTCCGAGCCCTGTATGACCTCCCGCCGCTGAAAAAAGAGTCACCCCAAGAGCTGCATGACCTGGTTGATGACTACCAACGGCATGTCAAGGCCTTAGCGATGCTGAACGAACCTGTAGTCCACTGGGACACCCCGTTGATTAACATGCTATGCTACAAACTGGATCCTACGAACCTCCGAGCCTGGGAGGAGAAGACCAGTAGCAGTGATGATGTCACCTACGAGCAGTTAGTTGATTTCCTGTACCAAAGGGTTCGAATGTTGAAGTTCGTCGTCACCGATCTGCAGCATCGTTCCAATCAACCCGACCAAGCCAAGGTGGCCGGTTCCAATCCGATACAGAAGAAGCCATTTAAGATGGTATCCAATTCCGCCACGACCGAATGCAAGAACTCCGCTCCGTACTGTATCGCCTGTCCAGAGAACCACTTCCTATTCCAATGTCCAGCATTTTCCAAGATGTCCGTTCGCCAGCGACGAGAGCTGGTATCCCAGAAGCGCCTATGCTGGAATTGCTTCCGCTCTGGACACCAAAGTAGGAATTGTACATCCAAGTACGATTGCCGAAACTGTCACCAGAAACACCATACCCTGCTGCACGAAGATACAATCCAGTCCAGTAACTATATCTGGTCAGCCGTCCCAACAACCGAATCCATCCACGTTGATTGCCGTCGAAACCCCCGGATCAGTGAATCCGAACCCCCAAGTGAGCTTGTCGGTACAGTCGTACCAATCCACGGTTCTGTTGGAAACGGGCAACCTCCTAGTTGTGGACCAGAATGGCAAAGAGCATTCCGCTCGTGCACTGCTAGATTCAGGATCGATGAGCAGCTTCATCACGAAGAAGCTTGCGAACACACTCCGTCGTACGAAAATAGACATCGCCGTGTCTGGAATCGGTGAAACGTCGAAGCAGATCAAGCGCAAGTTGACTGCTACAATTAGATCCAAGCTGCTTTCGTTCAGTACTACGCTCGAGTTTCTCATCCTCAAGAAACCCACAGTTTGCCTGCCAATCATGCCGATTGATGTTTCCTCGTGGAAGTTTCCTGATGTTCCGTTAGCTGATCCAAGCTTTCACATTCCAGCCGATATCGACCTGATTATCGTTGGAGAAGTGTAACACGAAATGCACACTGGCAGTAAGATTTCTTTTGGTGAAGGGCAGCCTGTATTCGTCGAGACCGCTTTCGGATGGACTGTTTCGGGAAAGGTAGCCATCAAATCACCTGAAGTTCCCCGTGTTTGTCAGCTCACCACTGTGGACCGTAATCTGGAACAAGCCCTCCAGAAGTTTTGGGAGTTAGAATCCTCCAGAATTCCAAGTTTACGGCAGAAGAAAATCTCTCGTTTCCTTGCCACTCACCCGCAGTCCGCTCGTCACTCTCGGTGAATCACGTTCAATCTCAGAGCGCCGTTTCCTGAACCTCGAAAAACGACTTGAGCGAGTCGTCACTTCATGGGAGAATACGAACGCCTGAATAACATGGTGAAACTCCTGGATCCAGTAGACGAAAGCCAACCGCACTGCTACCTCCCACACCATCCGGTGTTCAAAGAATCCAGCACCACCACGAAAGTTCGAGTTGTGTTCGATGCGTCGTGCAAGACGTCATCTGGATTCTCCGTGAACGACCTGCAACTAGTTGAACCCATCGTTCAGGAAGACCTACTGTCGATCCACATCAGATTCCGCATCCACCAAATCGCATTCATGGCCGATGTGGAGAAAATGTATCGGCAAATCCTGCTGCATCATCTGTTCCGCCGATACCAACTCATCCTCTGGTGTCCCAGTCCAGACCTGCCAATCGCTACGTACGAACTGCAAACCGTAACGTATAGGTTTGCGTCCTCTCCGTTCCTGGAAACTCGCACGATCCTGCAGATCGTGCAAGACGCAGCCGAGATGTATCCAGCCGCAGCCGCGGTAGCCCAGAAGGATTTCTATGTGGATGATTTCCTGTCTGGTGCCGACGATGTTGAATCCGCTATCCACCTACGCCAAGAAATGTCCACCATGCTTTCAGCGGCAGGCTTTCCGCTGAAGAAGTGGGCTTCAAACTCGCCTGAAGTTCTAGCCGATATTCCCGAAGATGATCTAGCCTTTGCGCCGTACCATGACCTTCAAGACGACCAATCTGTTTCCACTCTTGGACTCATCTGGGAACCGAGATCCGACATGATGAGCTTCAAGGTTCAGCTGCCATTACCAGCACCCGTTTTGACTAAACGGAAAGTTATGTCTTACGTTGCGCAGATTTTCGACCCACTTGGCCTGGTGGGACCAATAATAGTCAACGCTAAGCTGTTCATGCAGCGTTTATGGGCGCTGAAAACCGAAACAGGAGATTCTTATGAGTGGGATCGTCCTCTTCCTCCACATCTCCAGTCCGAGTGGAAAGAATTCCATGGAACGCTCGATACAATCGCCACACTCCGGATTCCTCGCTGTGTATCGTTGGCCAACACAACAATCTTCTGGGCCGTCGATATTTCACGACGGTGGAAAATCCTTCGAAAAGGAACGGGTAAGCCCCATCAGATACTAACAGTTTTTTTTTTTTTGAATTCTAATATGTCCTCTAAGGTCTCCTTCAAAGAGTTTCACTGATCTTGCAATCCTTAGAGCACACTTTTCGGCTTCGAATTTTACAAATTGATGCAATGGTAGCATATAAAGCAAAGCATCCAATGCCTTCGATGGTGTACTTCTCATTGCACCTGTTATTGAGAAAGTTGCTAACCTTTGGAGTTTTTCTAACTTTCTCTGAGCAACACTTGTACTTTCATATTCTCATGTGACTTATTGGGTCATGTCAGGTTTTAGCTTCTCCAAAGACACATACTAGGAACATATGCTGGTATGGTCAATAGGGGCCTGGAAGGTTTCCCAACCGGTGGTCCGCGGTCGACAGGGGGACCGCGAAGTCTTTTCAGGGGGCTGCGAGGGTCGTGGTATCCCAAGCAACAATTTTGGTTTTATCATGCTCTTGAAGATTATGGTTTAGTGCTTTAAGATCTCGATAAAACTGGGAATATTACTGGGGATGTTTGGTCTAAAAAAATATGCCAACAGTGACAATATCAAGGCTAAAATCAAAACTTTTTTCAATATGGTGGCTTACAGTGGGAAAAAGTAAGTGGAGTTAGTACCAATGGCGCTTTATAAATCCTTAGTAACAAATCAAGATTTGTTACACAGATTATAGAGCTTGCTCCATACGCCACAGGTGTTTTATATGCCCTTGCCAAAATTGTTAACTATGTCAAATCTGGAGCTCTGAACACTCGATTATTCAAAGAACTCTACAAGCAAATTAATTCAGATCACGATGTCTACACTGTTGTGTTGCTGCTTTATTGAAAATTTCTGGAGAAAATCTTCATCGTTCTGGTGAACGGATGGGCAAGCTTTTCTGAAAATTTTTGGTCTTAAATTTGCATCCTTCTGCTGAATAGAGCATCAAATTTCAATAATAATTTCTGGTGTAAAATTTGCACCAACATTTATGATGAAAAATCTGAAAATAGGGGCCAGCTTTATTTGATGGAAATCCTGCAACTGATGATAGGAGATGCCAGCTATATTGAAAATGTCTGGTGGAAAATGGAAAAGAATGGAATCAGAAGATTGGAAAAGCTACTTTTATAGAACATTAACAGTGGAAAATTTGCATTATTCTGGTCAATTGAAATTTTCTGCAAGCTGAATTTAAAATTCCTGATGTGAAAATTGCACAGTTCTGGTGAATGGAGGGGCAAGCTTTATTGAACATTTCTGGTAGAAAAACTACAACGATTTGGTAAATGGATGGACAACTTATACTTGACTTCCGAGAAGAACCTTAAGGGTATTGAATTCTGAAGACAGTTCCAAAAGAAAAGATTTCTGGGGATGATTCCATGAAAATTCTGCGAATAATTTCTAGTGAATCCTGCAGATAGTTCCAAGATAATTTTGAAAATAATACCGAGAGAATCAAATTTTGCATGAAATTCCAAACCGGAAGAATTCGAGATCAGAGAACCTCCACTCAATACGATCGAACTGTTCAAGGATCTGGTGTGGAAGGCTTTGGTGTTTAAGAACCGTTTGACAGAAGTTGGGAAGGGGGTGGCATCGTTCCGGCAGCTGATTGAAAGATGACCATGGAGGGACTGCTACTGGTCATAATGCCGATTCGGAATGTGATTAGTGAGTTGGTTAGTGGGGTGAGCGAGACCCTTACGGAGAAAGTGAAGGGAACGTTGAAGACGGTGGTAGATCGATTTGGGGCAGGGAGATTCGTTACGGAGCTGATTGGAGCTGAGCAGCGATTGGAGCAGTTCAATAAGCATTTCAACATCGTGATGTTTTAAATACTCATCGCAGAACTGATGCGAATGCAGCTTTTTGATATCTATGAGGTACGAATTGATTATGGAATCCGAGCCGCACAGCAGGTCGTAAGAGGATCGGTGTCCATACAAAGTTCACCATCTGTTCGTAGTAGTTTTATCAGTGATCGTTTACCATGTTTGATTCCATAACTTCATCGTAACTGACATCGATGGCTATGCCTTCGATAATCACTCGGACCATATTCGGAGGTAGAATCTTCACCGGTTTTTGCTTTCCTTCCATCGACAGCGTCCCAGCTTTTACAGGTGTTCTCTGACCGGCCCTGCTTTTCGCCAGAGACATCATACTTCTCTGTATTTGTGCGATCGTTGGACTGTCTGATCGTGTGAACATATTAAACCGCACCTCCACTAGGGAAGTCTGAGTCGATGGCTTTCGGGAGAAACTCCTCCCGGAAGCGTTCATCAGAAACTGAAGAGCATCTGGACCAGTTTCATCTGATGATGCACGCTCGCTTCGTCTACTTACCACCGTTACCTGTCGTTCATCTGAGTCCTCATCATACTCCAATCCAGTAGAAGTTATTATCTTGTCGAAAATTGGAAGGGCCTCTCCCGGAGAACGTTCTCGCTCGAAGCTTCGACTCGGTGGCCGAGGTCGTTGCTAATTAGGTTCAGTGTAGTCCATTTCCGAGAGAATTTGGGAGCAACAATGTCGATCCAGTCTGTTGACACTCTCGGCACTGCTGGCACACGTTGGCACAAAATAAGTGAGTAGAGTGACCACCCATTCCGCTAACGTTATATTGATAATGCTTGCCAAGATCCATCAGAGAAATTGAGAATGCAAACACAATCACATGTCATAAGTTTCAGGGTTGCCAATCTCATGTAATATTGACACCTTGCATGGTTTGATTAACCCTGATAGACCCGTTTGGCACAGATTTCGGCACAGCTCAATCACTCGGCACGAATTAAATACCCCTTGAGAATATCTTAAAAATCTTAAACTAATAATGTAATGAATTTCCAAATCATATCCCATGGACTATTTATGCTTGAATGTACTTCATTAGATACGGAGGTAAATTTTGGAAATTTGCATGGGAAAGGGGTCAAAGTACCCTAGATTTCCATCGAGTTAGGGAGAGATTATGATGGCCCTTATATTGGCCTACGGATCAAAATACTGGACAGGACCCATCGATAAGTATCCAGTAATTCATTTTTTTTCATAGAGCAATGCCTCAGACAGATGGCTATTAATGGTTGTTATTATTTTTTTTATCTACGATGCTTTATTTCGGAACTAAATTTGACAGGCTTAAAACCTAAATATTTTCAATGAAATTGTGTTAACTATATTCTGGTAGGCAATTAGAATGCAATAAACACATGTTCATGAACGCTTTTGATTCTCAAAAAAATAATGACGTCCTCTTCACCTTAAGTAACTTTGTACTTTGTTCGACATTACGGAAATCAACCCTACACAATCATACAAAATCTATAGAAGAACATTTTCACTAGAGGACGACCCCGCGTGAATTCAAATAAAATATTAACATACAATTGCTACATAACCGATCTAAACCCCTGAAGTATAACGAGCACCGTTCACACTTCTCCCCCAACCATTAATGGAGAAAGGAGACAATCGGAAGACGAAAAAAAAAATTGCATGTTTGCGAATTTTCCCGTTGTTGAGGTTAGAAACTGGATTTAAATCCCTCGGAACGAACACATACGGAACATTATCGGGAGAGGCACTTTCCTGCTCGGGCTCATCGCGGTCGGTACGACGAGTGTTTTGATCGATGGATGGCTGACGGTGCGAGAGATATTCAACCAACACGTGCTCCCGCAGCGAATTGGTGGGCATGCGCGTGCTCGAGAGGGATCCCCTTTTCGTCACACGGCACTAGTGAGAGTACGAGCGAGTGAGCGAGAGAGCCTTCGTGGGGAATCATTATTTTCTTTTTTTTTTAGTTTGGGTGGATTGCTTGGATTGCTCCGGCAAATGGAATCGGGGCTGACCGTCGTCGAGCACTCTCCGGTGTCATACCGAAATCGTTTTCGCAGAAAGTGGTGACTTGGCTCCTAGACTCTGTAAACGCCGGTCGCAGTGTCTTCTCCAGTACTGAACATCAGAAAATTATCCAAAGAATCAATAAAGGCTAACTTACTCCAAATCGCAGGCAGCAAGGCAAAAGAGAGCACGAAAGCAAGGATCGCTCCAGCAAAAAAGTTGAGAATCTATTCCGAAAATTCCAATTTACAAGATAGAAAATAGTTATTCGAAAAAAAAAATCTCCTGTTCAAGTTTAGCACCAGCTTAGAAGAAGTTAAAATATTTTACGATTTTATTTTCTTTCCAGACGAATGACAAAAGTGTTTTTTAGTTTTCCATTTCCGTCTAAAGATTTTCAAACAGATTTTCTGATCGATTGGAGTTGTTGTTAGGAAGAAAAGTTACGAATATTCGGGGTGATAGAGTTTTTACGAACAAGTCCACGTACAGTTGAAAATTGATTAAAAAAAGAAGTTAAAATTTCATTGATCTGTCTGTTCCATCGAAGGAAAAACGGCCAAGAATCCCTATTGGGAAGGAAGAAGAAGTAGCAGCAGTGGAAAAGTTTCCTCCTTGGTCGTAGTAGTCTGGTGGAAAACTCTGTGGAGTAGCGCTAAAGTGAGAGAGCGAGAGCGATCCGTGTGTGGTCCCGACCATCGAAAAGTGAGCAAGTGAGAGAATCCCAAAATCAGTGAGATACGAAGGACCAGCAAAGGGACAAAAGAGAACAATACGGAAAAGGCTGGCTGGACTCGCTTTTCCATCCGTCTTGGCGTGAAAAGTGTGTGAGAAAAGAGCAATCAGTCGGGTGGCAGTACAGGGAGAGAACAAGTGATCAGAGTGGAGTTTTGCGCGGTGTTGAGAATTTAAAAACGAAGGCACGAGGCTAGTGTGTTAGTGAACTCCATTCGTTTTTGACAGATCCTGAAGAAGACACTTTTCCTTGCACGGGTGCGGCCATATTCCAATACACTCACACAGCACGTACGCACACACTTTCACACACACACACAAACGTCCATACCGACAGGCTCAAAAGCTCAGTCAACGGACCGCAATTCTGTGTGAATATCCGACCAGACAGCTCCGCCAGAGGTAAATCGTCCAAAAAGCAGCCACCCGTGTGCGTGTGAGCTAACAAAGCAAGTGATATTCCAAAAGTTCCGGAAGTTTTCGAAGTCAAACTGTCCAACCTATCCGCTAGTGAAATGTCGGGGGATCAAAGTGGTCCCGTCGAGCTTAATGGCACCGGTGGTGGTGGCGGCGGCGGCGGCGGTGGAGGTGTCAACGGTGTTGGCAATGGTGTCGTCACCAATGGCACTCCGGGGGATGGTACCATGAATGGTGGTGAGGCCACTACCCCCGGAGGAGGTGGTGGTAGTGAGTCGGGCGGCCTAGGTAGCCTGATTGCCGTGGACGCTGGCTGTTCCGAAGGGCCGTCCAGCATCATCGGCGTTGGGCCACCGAGTCCTCTGACCGGGTGCTATCTGCTGATCATCATCGGCGAGCCACACTCGCAGGACCACAAGGATATCATTTTGCAGCGGTTGATCAAAGGTAAGTTGCAGCGTAATTTGCTCGGTTGGGGGGTTTTGCTTTTCGGATGGAAATTTTATAAGTGTATTGCGTCACCGGTGACGAAATTCTTATCGATTGATTGTTATTCTGGTGGGTATGCTTCACCATCTTTATCGTTCCATTGATGGTGGAGCTTGGGACTATTGGTTGAATACATTTACACTTGTGTGTCTTTGTGCAAAGATTGAAAGAGAACACTAGTTTTACTTAGCATTCTACGTGACTTTTGCGGATAAATTGACAACTACTGCAAAAAATCCTAATGTGCATTGGTCGACAAACGGAAGATTTGCATTTTCAACTTATCATTTTAATTTAAAAACAAATCATTAGTAATAAATTTGCTCACTAAATACTACTTACGTACCGTTAACCCATTTATCTTATATAAAAATTAGACCTTACTTGATAGAATAATGAAAACTAATTTTATTCATAAAAAAGCTAACTTTAAATTGTTGAACAAGTAGAAAAGAAAAATACGGGCAGGCATTTAAAGTACTGTTCATGAGAATAAATAACGTGCATGAGACTATCAATTCTTGGGTAGGATTTTTTCCCCCAGAACTCATGAAATCCCACAAACTTTCAAGTGCTTAAAATATTCGTTTTGCATCTTGTGTAACTTCTGGAATTTCCTGCAGCTGTGAGAAGTTTCGGAACACTAAGCACTAAAAGAATCTCGGCACTTCGGAAACGGTCTCCGAGTCGTAGAAGTTCCGAGACTTTGCGGATGCTCCACGCTTCCACGCAGGTGTTCTTGGAGTTATTTTCAGGTGAACTGGAAAACTTTTGGAGTTCTAAGGATCTCGACTCACTTTTCTCACAGTTCTGGCTGTTCTTGGAGTATCCTGGAGGACTTTCCATACTCCTAGATCTACTAGAGCATTCGGAACTCAAGTGACGTCTCAGAATCCCAAAAATCAAAGAATGTCACTTTTAAAATTCTTTGACCACTGAGAACTCTAGGATTTTTTGGTATTCGAGAGCTGTTGGTAATCAATATTTTGCTGGAAATGTTAAATCTACCAAAACTTTCACAGCAATGCAATCAATCACAAATTTAGATACTTGTGGAATTTATGGTGGTTCTGAAGCACCTTCTGCAGCAACCTGTAGAGATTCCTGGATTTCCAAGAATTTCAAATGCTCCAAAAAACTATGCAAACTTTCAAAACTTAAAGGATTCAACCAATCGGAGACTAACAATTTTGTTGGAAATATAACAAGAAGGTTTTGTAATTGAAGTCCTCGAAATGCATTGAATTGATTTTGACGTAGGACTACGTTTGTGATTTCTATATGGGGGTACACTTTGTGGAAACCGAAAATGGAACATGTAACAAAATTATGAAAGATTTTGAACGTTAATTACTCAGCTGCCCCAGGACCAAAATTTCAATATTTTATCACCAATCGATCAGAAATACTCCTACGCATTACGCCTACAGTTACGACTTTATTATTTTTCAAAATGTCACTATTGAAAATTGCATAAATGTGCATCTGTTGCTATGATAGTTAAAATAATCACCGATTGCCTGCGAAAAGCGATTTCCCTAACACAGATTTCAAAGTGGAATTTCATCCAGTCTCACCAAACGGTGTTTATTCAAGCACCTCGTGGTGAGTGGTAGTGTTCTCCAGTACACAACGAAAGGCTGCCTGCAAGCAGCGAGCCGCAGCCCACATGACCATCCCTAGAAGGAGGAAGAAGCCGCACAGCTATTGATCGGAATCAGCAGCTCTTTGTGAGTCGCTGTGGGCCATCACAAAACACAAGCTCCTACTGAAGTTAACAAATAAGATTTATTATGTATATTTTTTTTTTTCCTTTGATTTGTTTTCCGTCGATCTTGTTTTCCGTGCTGAGCACCAATGCTACCGACGCGCCAGGAAGGCAGCTCCCACACCTGGACCCTACCTATCGACCCATCAACTCATGAACCGGGGACCAACGGCTTTACTTCCCTTCCGAAAGATTTATTATATAAGACCACGTAGTCCTACGTCACCATTACGTACAACCACCCCATTGGGCTGTCCCTTGAAGTTTTTTTTTGTGATTTGTTTTCCGTCAATCTTGTTTCACGTACTGAGTACCAAAGCTACCAACGCCAGGGAGGCAAATCCCACACCTGGACCCTACCTATCGGCTCATCAACTCATGGACCGGGGACCAATGGCTTTACTTCCCCTCCGATCCGAAGGAAGGCGTGAACCCAGGTCCTTAAAAGTGAGACGCAATCACGTTTACCACTACACCATCGGTGACACTAATTGGATTTTTTAAAATTGATACGAAAACATTGATTCCGGAAATAGTTCCTTGTTCGCTGCAGTCTGTTCTGAGAACAGTCATTAGGGTTTACGTATGAAGCATATAGAGTAAGTGAACCAGTTTCTGGCTCAAAAGATGGCCTATTTGGCCCGATCGAAATCGTTTACAAGCTTGCCTACAATTTTACTAATTTATGCAATACCGTATGCGTGATAATCTGATGATGATGAGCAATGTCAAAATTTAAAAAAAAATCTCATAAATTTCGCCTTCGAGTTTTTTTTTTATTAATTCTAAGGGGGAATGTTTCTCAGAGTCTTAAACTATGTTAATCATCCATCGAGTTTCCACTTGCTGCAATAACGACCTCCACACGCTTCCGGAATGCACGGCAGGTTTTTATAATGTAGTCTCGATCCATTTCTCTCCAGGTACGGGTCAATGTTTGTCTGAGGCTTGCTGTACTCGGGTGGCGTTTAGAACAGGCCTTGGCCTTCATGATGCGCCATGGGCAGCCACATATCCTTCGCCCAGAACGGAAGATGTTCCTGCAACCACTTCTGAGTGCGGTTCGAGGTGTGGCACGGAGCCCCATCTTGTTGAAATACAACATTTGGCTTTGGACCGTACTGTTCTTTGATCCACGGAAGAACATACTTACTTAAAATCCCGATGTAGACCTCTGTGTTTACCTTGTCGCCTTCTGGAATTAATACCGGGTCCATTTTTTTGCCATTGGAAGCCACCAATCCAAACACCATAACGCTAGCAGGATGCTTGGTCAGATACACGTTCTTGTGCTCCCCGAGCAGGAACCGATAGCTAATCGATAACAAAAGAATATCTTAATGTGGTATGATAACAGATTTCGGTATGCTTGTGGTATAAAACCTTGTTTTGATATTATTCAGTTATCGAAATATGTTGTGAAATATCAAATGAATACCAAAATAACAAAATGTGATCTTTCAGTTTTTAGACAATAACATCTAAAAGAGTTATTGAATTGGTATTATTTAGAAGACCTTCAAAATATCAAACTATGGTATTCAGGCATCTAAAAAACCGTCTGTTATCCGTTTGTTATTGTAATAACTAAATTTTTCAGTTGTTCGTTATTCGTAGAATATTTTTGAGGTATTATTTTTGGTATTTTACCTCTTATGTCAGCCTCACTAATACCATATTTAGGTTACCAGTTATGCTATTTTCATACCTGAATTTGGTATTAATAAGTTATTTTTTCCTGCTCGGGTCGTCGGCCACGTCTTTTACCGGAAGAGAACTAATATACCGGTCGGTTCTGGAATTTGATACGGGATCGACGGTAAACATGTTCTCGTCGGTGAACAGGATTACCGGTTTTTTTTTCGCTTAAGGAAGTTCAAGATTTTCTTACATTGTTCGACTCGTAGCTCCCGGATGCGGTTGGTAATCATGTGAGTTTTTTCCGTGCCCTCAACTTCACCCCGCAATCTTCCTTTACGATCTTCCGTGCCGTGCCGTGTTCCTTTGCCATTTTCCTTATTGAACGCACTGGATTCACCCGAATCTTCCTTTTGATAGCAGCGATAACCCTCGGAACCAGAACTGACCTCAGACGACCTGTGGTAACCTTCGCGGATAGTTGTCCTTTCTTTTCTCGGTCTAAAACCCTTTTGACGGTCCACCGGGACACTCCCACTCGATTAACATGTCTTTTTACGACATTTGCGCGTGGGACAAATCACGAATACGCTGCCACTTCGTCATGGTGCAACTGTCAAACTAAGTAAATCATTTTCTTTTATACACAGCCTACTACGGTATGAGCTATAGGTTACGTGCATGCAAAGAAAACGAAGGCATTGTATGCACAGGTGAAACGGGAACCTTATTTGTACGATGGTGCAAACATTATCACGCATACGGTATTGCGCTTAAGTTTACACGAAATATCGCGTAAATTTATGCCAAATCTAGCGTTAATTCTATGTGCGCTGTATCTCGCAGAAATTTGCATTGATTTTTCGAACGTTAGAACATAGATTTTTTTTCATATTACGTAACATTAGGAACCATAAGATCTCTAGTCGTTGGATCTGCAATAAATTTCGGTACTCTGAGAACCTCCAAAATATCCAGCAACTGGGGTCGGACCTGGCGTAGGGCTTTACATCCATACCTCCCTCGCTAAAGGTCATGAGACCATGAAGTTCAAGAGAACATTTTGACAACATGCATATCATGGAATGGCATCAATAAGATATTTAATGATTTCCTAACCATTCTTGAGCAGAGACTTTGAAATTCTACAGGCTCAATGAAGTCTTGAACATTGTTCTGAAAATCTTTATGAGTCCGTGGAGCTCTAAAAAAAATTTTGAAAACATGTATATCATAATAAGATGTTTAATACTCTCCAAACTAATCTGTCTACAGACTCCATGAAACTCTTGAGCAGTTAACTGAAAATCTGTATGAGTCCATGAAGATCAAGAGATCCTCTTAACGACATGCACATCATGGAATGGTATCTACACACTTAAATTTTTTCGCCGAGATTCCAACAGCCGAGCAGTTCTGCAATTTATTTCGCTGAGATTCAGTAAAACAATTGCCGAGACTCAGCTAACAAATAACATTTTGCTGAGATATCAGCTAACAAACAGATATTTTGCAGAGATATCAGCAAAAGTAAATGCCGAAGTAATCGGCT